TACGTTTAGTAATATGTAATTTACAGAAATGATATAGACACCAATATATACAATAAACTGGTGAAATTTGCAGATGACATCAAGGTGGGTGGTGTAGCAGATACTGAACTAGCGGCTCAGCAGCTACAGCGGGATCTTGATTTAATTAGTGACTGGGCCGACACCTGGCAGATGAAATTTAACATAGACAAATGTAAGGTACTCCAAGTAGGGAGCAGAAATATAAAGTACAGGTATTTTATTTGCATATAACATATTATATATTGACTACTACTATTCTTTTAAGCTATAACTCGTTGTGCACCAGTTGGGGTGGCTTCGAGTCTCTTCCTGCAAGTGGTTTCTCCCCCCCTTTGCTCCACTGTCTGCCCCTCCACGGAGCACGCATGTTGTCACTTCCAGCTTCAAAACTCGGAATCCGACTCGGAATACGAGTTCCGAGGCAAATAGAATGCACCAAAACTGCCCGAAATGGGTTGACAGAGACATTTCAGGGATTTTGAGTCATTCTGCGCTGCAGATGGGCTAATTGCGTTAATTTTAATCAGATTAATGATAATGGATTAATCCGCGTTAACCCGTTAATTTTGACAGCCCTAATTATATTATATTATATAAAATATGATATAAGGGTTGTCACAATACTACAATTTCAATCTCAGTACTGATACCCTGGAAAATACTTGATACCATTTTTTCCATTTGATACCATTAGAACAATACAAACAACATCAATGACAATACTACGTAATGCAGAAAAAAAAAAAAAAAAAGTTGTCTACGGAGTAAACAGGGATCTGGTCCATGCAAATGTATCCAGGTACAGCCCTGTTTATTTTCTTTGCTTCTGGTGACTTGGTAAGATAGACTGCCACTGTTTCTGTTGACTTGTCGATTTTACTCAGGTTTAATCTGGAACTTCAAAACAAGCATAAGAATAATTGTGTTATCCTGTTAAATGTACACTGTCTATTAACGTTTCAGATGGACAAGACTGATAATGTTTGCTGCCTAGCTCCCACTTTAACGTTATAGTTTAATTATTAGCCATAGCCACTACCTTAATGATAACTTAACAGACGGTCAATGTGAATGAGGAATTTTCTGTACAGAAGCAGACAAAAGGGTCTTCCTGATGATCACTATGCAAGTGGGAGAGGTCAGTAAAATGCTTGCTAGGCATTGTAATCTCCTTAATGGATGAATGAATCTTAGCTGTACACTTTACCTCAACAGAATTGTCTGAGTAAATGTATAGCATTGTGACTATGCAACTGGCCTCTTTAGATTTTAGTCATAAATCTGAATAGATTATGGCTTTTGATCTGAGGTTTGCAAATATCTTTTTGTCTTTCCCCAGAACTTGTAATTCTGCTTGAAAAGTTTGTGGAAAAGGTATCCACAGGATACATTATGGATTTTAATCAGGAGACTGGCTACAGGAAGAGCTATAAGGTAAAGGCCTTTCCAGATGACTTGCCACTATACGCCCCTGTGGTCAGCAGAAATCCCTCAGGAAACTTGCTCTCAGGTCTGGGACCTTCAATGCTTGTAAGAGAAGAAAAGGTATCCACAGGATCCAATATGGATTTTAATCAGGAGACTGTCTACAGGAAGAGCTATAAGGTAAAAGCCTTTCCGGAGGACTTGCCACAATATGCCCCCGTGGTCAGCAGAAATCTCTCAGGTCTGGGGCCCTCAATGCTTGTAAGAGAAGAAAAGGTATACACAGGATCCAATATGGATTTTAATCAGGAGACTGGCTACAGGAAGAGCTATAAGGTAAAAGCCTTTCCGGAGGACTTGCCACAATATGCCCCCGTGGTCAGCAGAAATCCCTCAGGAAACTTGCTCTCAGGTCTGGGGCTCTCAACACTTGGAAGAGAAGAAAAGGCATCTGTAAGCTTAACAAACTGATGTTTTCATATAATTACTTTGCATGTTTTACTAAAATACATACGCAAGCATTCAAGTGACATTTTTACACTGTTATAAAAGAAAATAACTTTAAGTTATTTGGATGGATTGGTATTAATATTGACACAAAAGTGTTATTTGAAAATTTGCAATAATTTGCTCATCACCAAACATTTGACAATTGAAACTTATTCATAGACTTATTTAAACACACATCCAGCCTGTAATGCTTACTTAAAGAAACAGTCATTTTAATCACTTGATCTAACCTCACTCTACTGGTCTGTGGCTATAGGTCTTCTCTAGTACAGGGAAAATGTTGGAACCTATATGTCTAATTGAGAACACGACAAAAAATGAGCTCAAAGTCAATCAGGAAGCAGTAGCCATTTTAAGCTCCTTCCATCAGCCTGTAGTTGTGGTGTCTATTGTGGGCATGTACCGCACTGGCAAGTCCTACCTGATGAATCGATTGGCTGGGAAGAATAAAGGTATGTGCTGCATTTCCCTGTAAGTTTTAACAGTTTTTCCTGATACATTTGGATCTCCCTGCTTAGGACACACTTCTCTGTTCCTGATATTTCAGGATTTGCTCTGGGCTCCACTATCCAGTCTAAGACAAAGGGTATCTGGATGTGGTGTGTTCCTGTTCCTGGTAGAGAACAAACACTGGTCTTGCTGGACACTGAAGGACTGGGAGATGTGGAGAAGGTACTGTTGCTTTAGAAAATGCAAAGGAATCATTTAACAATTGATATATAAAATACAAGGAAGCTACAGTTAATGAGCAAATTCCAGGATTTTATCGATCTTCAAAATCTGTACATATGCTACAAAATTAAGGAAATGTATATCTTGCCCATGTAGACATTAATTAATAATTAAAATGATCATTTCAAACTCCTAGGAGGACACAATGGTTAGAACACTGCTCCCTCGCCACCAGTTTTTCCCTTGTTTCTGTGGTTCTCCTGCAGTTATTTTGGTTTTCTCCCCAAATTTGGCGCCTCTAAAGTGTTCATAGTGTGTGGGTCCTAAGATAGGCTCTAGGTTTGCCTTGAGAGCATGTCACTACTATATAAGCTTAATGGCTGCATTTATAATGATTTGTTTTATCAAAGATTTTCAAGAGAATTTTGTTATACTTTTACAGTGTCATAATTAGCAATAAGAAAGTATTTTACATAAAGTAACTTAAATACAAGTATGTATTTATGTAAACATGAGTGATGTGTTTAACACAATTATAAAAGAAAATGTTATTTGGTTGGATTGATATTATTATTGACACAGAAGTATTACTTGGAAAATCTGCAAATGCCCATCACCCAACATTTGACAATTGCTCGAACTAAGGTTTAAAAAGGATTGTCTTTATTTTAACAGGGGGACGATAAGAATGACCACTGGATCTTTTCCCTGGCTGTGTTACTAAGCAGTACTTTGATCTACAACAGCATTGGTACCATCAACAATGTTGCTGTGATGAATCTACAGTATCCTACCAACCTGAACATTTCCAGTTTCTATTCTATGAATATTGCAAAGCTGAAAAGTAATTACAATATCTGATATAGAAGCAGGGAAATACTTTTAACTGTCCTGGTCAGAAATACACAAATGACTCTAAAGTTAGTGTTTTGATCAGGACTTGGCTGCCATCTGTTGGTTATACAACATTCACCACAATCTTCAAAAACACTGAAGGGCTGGTAGATAATGGATTGGTGGATCGATTAATCATAATGAATCTTTTCTTACTCTCTGCCAATGATATAACTGTTGCTAGTTAAAGATACAAAGGTTCTGTAAGTGCTAAAATATGCTTATGAAAATAGTTTCATGGTCAATGGTGTTACATTTCCACGTCAAGGTACAAAGTAGATACAGCCAGTAGGTAATTTGGTCTTCTGATGATCACTTACTTGGAGTTTCACTACACTGACTTTGATACTCATGTATTTGAGAAACATTCTGTAGTTTGATGCTTCTGCTGCTGCATTCTTTGTCTGTCATTTCCTTGCTCAACTTTATAGAATTGTAACCGAAATCAACTAGGTTTCTTCTCTCAAAGTGTTGACCTTGCCATTTCTCACCACTGAAATAGATTTTCTAAATTTTCTTCCTCAACTGCAGCATCTAACAGATATGTGACTGAGCTGACAAAACACATCAAGGTAAAGTCCAACGATGAGGATGAAGCCGATGCTTCTGCTGAGTATGTCCGCTTCTTCCCCTCCTTTATCTGGGCAGTAAGAGATTTTACCCTGGACCTTGAGGCTAATGGGAAACCCATAACAGCTGATGAATATTTGGAGAACTCCCTCAAGCTGAAGCCTGGTAAATGCATAACACTGCCATTCACTGTTTACTCCATGAAGGCTATAGTACAAATGAACGGAGCAATGATTTTTTTATGGGTTTATTCATTTCAATGAAAAGGCCCATACTACTCTTCACCTAGTAAGTGATACTTTCCGAAATTGCGCTTACCCATTGAAATGAACGGAGCTGATTTCACTGCTGAGTAGTAGCCCTTGCCTAGACGGACGGACTGACATATCGTTTGTCTCGGTGCACCTTACGGATCGCGTGCAATTCCATCGCAAAAAAAAAAAAACCCTTTATTTAGTTATTTATTATGGGCCTATTCATTTTAATGAAAAGGCCTATATTACTCTTCACCTAGTGAATGATACTTTCCAAATTTGCGTTTACCCATTGAAATGAACGGAGCTCACTTCGGTGCCAAGTCTTAGGGCTTGCCTAGACCTATGGATTGACATATCGATTGTTTCAGTACACCCTACAGATCGCGTACAAATCTCATCTCAAAGTCGAAAAAAACGTTATTTATTATTATGGGCCTATTCATTTTAATGAAAAGGCCCATATCACTCTTCCCCTAGTAAACGATACTTTCTGAATTTGCGCTTAGCCATTGAAATGAGCGGAGCTCACTTCACTGCCGAGTCGTAGGGCTTGCCTGGACAGACGGATTGACATATTGCTTGCCTGTGTCACACCCCGATCGTGCCGATCCTCCTGTGCCACGCCCCCCCCCTCGTTAACCTCATGTGGATTCCCAGTGTTTAACAGCTGTTTCTGTTTGTCGTCATTAGTCCAGTGTATTTAGTCCGCGTTTTCGTTCATTTCCCCAGTCCAGTCATTTACATTACGTGTGGCTTGGAGCGTGTTACCCCAGCAACAAAGCCCTTTTTGCTCGTATTCACGGCTTCTGTTGCCTGCTTCCTTGTTGGATCGTGACAGCCTCGGTACACCTTGCGGATCGCGTACAATTTTATTGCAAAATCAAAAAAAAAATTAACCATTCTTCCGTAAATTTCGGCAATTAATGCGGGTCGTACCGTAAGGTGCACCCAGGCAATCGATATATCAAAAGTTAGTCCTCGATGGTGTGAGGTGTGCTATTACTTTTCTTGCCATTACACGTTACCATGGTAACGCTATTCACATTCAAACACACTAAAAATCCCATAGGAATGCATTGAATGCTAACCTTCACTATTGTTAGCCTATACCTAGCTACTGGAACTTCTTATGGCATTGCCATTAAAAACCAGGTGAAGAGTAATATCGACCTTTAAAATCAATAGGCCCATAAGTAGAAGCAAAGCTCCTGCCAAATCCACAAACACAACGACCCACAGACGTGAAACTACTTACCATATCCTAGCAACCACATCACAACACCCTAGCAACCACATAGTAATGCCTAACACCCTAGCAACCACCTAGCAACCACCTAGAAACCAGCTAGTAACACCCTAGCAATGCCTACCGACAGCTTAGCAACCACATAGGAACACCCTATCAACCACCCTAGCAACACCCTAGCAACCACCTAGCAACACCTTAGCAAACACATAGTACTGCCTAGCAACACCATATCAACTAGGGCAGGGCAATATGGCTGAAAATATTTACCACATATATATTTGAAAATTTGCGATAACGATATAACTGATGATATGATTGATGCAAGACAAAATACTTTACAACTCCACAACTTTATTAGTGCAAAAAAACCCCATCAATTTATTTTCGCTTAAACAAGCAGCTGGTTTTATGTGCATTAAAGCTATATAAAAATTTAACAGTGCAAATGCAAATTCCTTGCTGACAGTTTAACCAAAAGGCATTTCCAGTGGAAATGGGCTGACATATCCTGAGCATAACCATGTATAATATCCACAAAACTTAAAAAGAGTTGCTTTGCAACATAAAACTGCAGTGTGCCAAATAAATAAGTCAAATAATAAAATTGCACAAACTTGAGTAAAAACAAAACAAACAAAAAACATGGATAAATTATGCTACTGCTCATGGAAGTTTTCTACATTTCAAGTTTCAAGATTCTTTGTCAGAAACATTAAGGCCCAATCCCAATTCTATTTTCTACCCCTTTGCCTACCCCTCGCCCCTTCCCCTTGCCCCTTGAA